CAAGACCACATTCCAACGAGAGTGGTCTTGAGAATATGATGACTATATCAACAAGTTGCACATTTCTTTTCAGTGGCTCAATCATAGAAACTCCAACTAAGGAGATTTTGCTTGAAACAATCTTATATTGGATTTAAAGAACGTGGGTTCGTAATGTAGGGATAGTCTTTACTTTCAAAAGCGTTATATGGTGCAAGAAAATATCAGCACATGGCAACATAATTTCTGGTAACAACCAACTCTAAAGGAATCAAATCAACACTCCATTCATGAAAGTCAAACCCTAAGTAATTATTTATAAACTGTTCTCCAACTTTTCTTTAGTTATGCTCCATGGTAATTTAAAAACTATTTTCTCGTGAAACTATCGATTGTAATACGATATTTAAGGTATTTCGGATCAAGATTTTTGCACCAAAACAGGTTTGAGGTGTGGAATGCAAATTGGAAATAATTTGTCGGCAGTTCTATTGGCATTCATTACCTTATCTTTTATGTCAATATGTGTTAGGTTAGGCATATATCATTTTCTTCATTTTAAATGCACATGCCTCCATTTTTTTTAATTTTTATTTTCTATATTAAAAAAAAAAAAGTGTTTTTTATGGTCAATAAAAAATAATTCATTTATTTAATTTAATGAGGTTTAACAAAATGCTATATTTATAACTATTTGTTTTTAAAAAATAAATTTTGAATTTTTTTTTTAATAATATTTTTGCAAATATGATTGATGGCTACCTAACAAATAAAGAGGGATAATATTATAAGACAAAAAGTGAGTCATAATTGCTTCTAAAACTATCTATCTATATATATATATATTTAAATTATCTTGGACTACATTCCCTATTGAGTACCCTCTCAATGGTTGACTTTAAGGGTTGTGCCACATAGAATCATTACCCACTAGTACAATTACCTATTTGTCCTTGTGATTTGAGTTTAATTCTTTCAATAATTTTGAAAGTTTTGATCTAGTTCTTCTAGTTTTGGCGATGGTCTTAAAAGTGTCAATCCTCTATTGAATTGTATGCTTTTGTTCGTTCTAAAAGTTCGTTGTTCTATGAGAAATAAATTGAAAGGTTGAACCGACCATAACTAACATTTTGATAGTTGAAGACCCAAATGATATCTAAACTTGTTAGACTATTTGGTTGCTTATGGCTGCATGACAGATGTTCCAGTTTTGCTTGTCTTAATCGGTTGATTGGGAAGATGTCACGGTCATGCTTGTCCAAAGCATGTTGCTTGTGACCGCATGACAGATGTCTTAGTCTTGCTTGTTTGAGTCCTTGTCAACCAATTGAGTAGGGGAGGATGTCACAGTCATGCTTGTCCAAGGCGTGTTGCCTATGGTTGCGTGCCTATTCCAAACCCTTTTTTCATACTTATATCTTTGATAAGCCTTTACCATTTCATATCATGTTAATATGGGGGTGTATGACCCGTTCACCAAAATCGCGTCTACACCCTCCTAGGCAAAAATGCCTCAAAATGTACTTTATGGGGATATGACTAGTTGTCAACTTCTCCCTACCCGATAGTTATATGCAGTAAACCGTTGTTGCATTTTACTTATATTTTTATATAACACTAATTTCAATTTATCGAATCTTGCTTTCAAAACTCTCTTTCGAAATATAAAACTTTATTCTTGAACGGAACCGAAGGCTTGAGCCTACGTCGCTTGGGCGTAGATGCAAGAACGACTAAGCTTAAGGAAGTGAATGCCGCACAATCACAAGTCCACTGTGTTTTTTAAAAAATGTCTAATTTAGTATGACTATTTTAAATTTAGGTTTAATATATCATTAAACTCGTGATCTTATTAGCGTGCCAAACTAACTAAATTAGGTATCAACATTTATTTCCTAAAAATTTATTATTATGTACCCACAAAAAATTTAAAATATTTATTTCAGCTATTATTATTAATTACAACAATTAAGCAGTTATCTAACAAGCATTGAGCCTAATTTTTCAAAGTTTGGAATTTACCAAACACTAATTACCTCATTTTTTATTTTTCTAAAAACACAGTTGTTTGCCATTCGCCCTGATCCATTAGAACTTTTCTGTAAACATAGTGATCAAACACCAAACCAACTCGCTTACATAAAAAGAGTAGGACAAAAGGTTTTGAAACTTAAAAACTCATGCTAATAAACAAACTGTTGTGATCATGAAAAGGTCAAAAAGTAGCAACTGTTACCAACAAAATCGAAGTTCCAAAATAGCTTGAAAAGAAAAAAAGAACAGGAACCATGGGCTGAAGAAAAACTCGATTACAAAATAATTTATGCAGCACCAGCTCCCTTTCCCTTCTTTCTTTGGAGCTTCTTCATATAGAATTCAAGCTCTTTGCCCTCCAAGATATATCTGTCAAAAGTTAGCAATACCTCAGTAACATTACCCAAAAATCCTTCCTCACCTTCAATGATTGTGTGAAACCAAGTTGGAAAGAACATCGATAGAATCTATAATCATTAAGAGTGTCATAATGCTTACCCGTCTGCTCGGCCACATTGACCTGGTCTTGATGAGATACAAGCCATCAAACGACCGCTGCTGAATTGTTCTTCGATATGCGGATCGAGCTTACGGTCCTGCTGACGTTTCTCTATTTTGCGCTGGACATGGTTACTCTTCTTTACCTCTTCAGTTGGAGCATCACCTTCCTATCAACCATACAAATCAAGTTGTGTTATGGATGGAGTGTCGTATCACATTAAAGTAAATGATTTCTGTTATGAATGCCATAACATTAGATAAGAAACTTGATTAAACATTAAAAAAACTTTTACTTGAAAATTGCATAAACCGAATCAATCATTAGATCTATAAATCTTCCTATACCTCTTCCTTCTTAGCAGATGCTACGGTCTTCTTCTTCCGTCCAATATCCACTCCATAATGCTGAAGGTACCACTGCTTAAATGGTGCTGCATCAACTTGAACTATGGCACTCTTCACCAAGGTTTGAGTACGAACAAGCTCATTGTTAGATGCATTGTAGACCACATCAAGAATACGTGACTTCCTAGTCACGGCCTCACTACCCCAAGAGTAGTTTCCAGTATCAAGCCTAAAAGCACGCCACTTCACATTACCCCCACGAACTCTAATCCTCCTGATTGACTTGTCACTGGATATCTTGGTGTTGGCAGGTTGCCTACCGAGCTCATACCTTCACAAACAATGAGGTAAGAAACAATAGCAAGAGGGCTTCAAAACACATTAGCAGATGAAAGTTGTAAATTGGATTGACAAAATTTCTTCTGTGATAGTTACAAAAGATGAAAGTTTACACCTTGCCACCAACTACAACACTTAAAAACAAAAGATAAAAAATTTCAGCTACAAAATTACAGATTAGTACTGAAAACCAGGCAAAGAAAGATAATTACACACTTTACCATAGAACTATTAGCAATTAATGAGAAGAAATGGAAATAAAACTGATTGATCAATATGCACGCAGCAAAATATAAGAAGAGAGTTACTTTCTCTTCTTCCTCCAAGCCTTCTTCTTGCCTCCAGTTGCACGCCTCTTGTGCATAGAATCACGAGAAATTCCTATAAATGAAGTCTTCTCAGATTAACAAAAACAAAAAACGTAAAACATCGAGATATGTAAACAATCTAGGAATTTGTATTTGACATACCCATGTTGCTGAGATGAGAGCTCTTGGCGTGAAGCCAAGTTTAGAGTTCCTGAAAAAGAAATATTAAACAACCCTTTTGAGAACAAGAGTAAATTCCCAACAAAGCCCATTAATTTTTTTATAGTTTTTATAATAAGTTATCTGAGCTTGGCCAAATATTTCCCGGTGTTCAATTCAACAGCATAAGAGGTAATTAAGGCTGTTCGAGGGTTAATTTCGTTTGGGTGTATGGACCATGATCAACATTTATATAACAAACCAACGACCTAACCCAACCCAACCCAACTGTTTGTTGAAAATTAAAATGTTAATGAATTAATTAAGTTTACTAAAATTAAAATATCACGAATATCACAAAGTATATTACATGAACAAAAACCTACGAAAAGTTAATCGGCAAATTGATAGCGCTAAAACGACCACCTAAAGCTCATAATCAATAACTACATCAAAGAGCCATTAGCCAGAACCACCAAGTTATCGCAATGTACATCGTTAATAAACTAAAATGCGACAATAACCATCAAATCAGCATGAGCAAAAAGAGGACACCGATTACTCATACTCTCCAATATTTTACATTCAAACAACATTCTGGAACTGTGAGAAGGACGACTGAGCAAATTAAAAAAAAAAAAAAAAAAAGCATTCAATCAAGATTACAACAATTTTAGGAACCTAAGAAAATCTTGAAAAGAACAAAACACATCCAATGAACAACGAACCTTTAGCGAACGAGAGAACTCGGGAGATAGAAGGGAAGAGATTGTAGGGGACTGAGAGAGGGGTTTTGATGCGGCGAGGGTTAGGTTTAATTTGTTTGTTCCACTGTGTTTTTAATGGGCTGGGCTGTCTATCTCGTTTTATCTACGTTTTGGGCCATTTTAGGTATTTTAATGGGATGGGCTGTCTATTGGGCATAGATGTATGTTTTTAAAATGGGCTGGACTGTCTATCTAATTTTATCTACGTTTTGGGCCATTTTAAATACTTTTCTGGGATGGGCGGTCTATTGGGCCTTGATGTAAGTATTTTATAATGGGCTGGGCTGTCTATCTAGTATTGGGCTTTTAAGTGTTTTCATGGGCTGGGCTGTCTACTGGGCCTTGATGTAAGTATTTTTAATGGGTGGGCTGTTTATCTAGTTTTATCTTCGTTTTGAGCCATTTTATTAGGCCTTGATGTTAGTCTAAAGATATTTAAGAAATTTTCTTTCGATAATGTTTTTTCTTTTTAATGAAATATTAATTGGATTAGTTCGTATAATGTCCTTATGCCATATATTTAATACTTTAATATTGAAATTTGAAGGAAATCAACAATTATTAATACTTCGAACAAATTAGAAAATCATTAAAAAGAAATAGAAAAGAAGAATCCCCTATCAATGGTAACAAGCCAGAATTCTATGAATTTTTCCAGCAGTACCGCAACTAGAAGGTCTTCCAAGTGACACCCTCCCCATATGTCGTACAGTTAACGACTCGATGAGAGACGACGGAGATGAAGAAGAAGACGACGACGACGACGACGACATTGAATCTCGAGGAGAAGCCATGAACTCACAGTCAGAGCTGAGAAATGAAAATGTTTCCAACTTACCATTGCTATAGTCTATAGTTGTTGCTTGAGCAGCTCTCCCATCATCCCTACTCTTCTTGACCCTCCTCCAGAACCTAAGCTTCATCGTGGGTCGGGGTCGGGTTTTTGGTTTCTCAATGCACGGTAGCGGTAACCCGAGGCTGAGAACTGCTGGTGGAGGGCTGAGGGGTGGAAGCAAGTCTTGAGGGGGTGGATCTTTGGGGGTTCCTGGCTGTGTTTCCCATTTGAAAGGGACTCCTTCAGCTGCTCCACAGTAATAAGTGCTGCGAGAAGAACAACCTATTGAAGATGTTCTTGCTATCACTTTGCTCTTCATATCCCAATGAAAGTTTCCATCCATATTCTCTTCTTTTTCCCTAGAGAGTGACAGAATTTGATTGGTTTTATAGGACTTTGAGTGTTGTTTTATTTTGTTTCTGAAAATTTGTATGAGATAAAAGGGACTTTGTTGAGGTTGTATATATAGAGAAATGTGCACTGGTAAGCCTATTTTTCAGGATTTTGATGGAGTTTTGTGGCGCATGATCCTGTTCTTGTGAGGATTAATTTGCAAGTTATAACATCTGTAAAGTTTCTATTTTCCTTCTTTGGTTTGTCTTCTTCATTTTTGAGTATATTATTTCCATTTCTTTCTCTCCTGTAAAAATTAACCGCTATTGAAATTAAAAAAATTCACCATAACAAAATGGGATTATTGAACATAAGTAATAGGCACTTTGTCCTTTGTCAAGACAAAAGGAACTGACCTTACGTTATATACTTTGCAATTGCATGTATCTTACTTAAAAAACCTGAACTTACTGTGCAATACAAAAATCAAAATTTCAAAAGTAAAGGTTCATATCAGCGAGCCTAGTAGACCAAATCGAAGCTTTGCTTAAATTCTTGCTTTCAAGTTACATAACCATAACTTATAAACCAAACACTCTATATACTGGCCTTCTCCCCATACCCTAAAGGCTTGAAATAATGTCAGGTCGGCCACCAAAATGGGCACGTTTTAATGATTTGACCTTCTTGAGTTGACTTTTGAAGAGTTTGAACATGATTAATTTACAAAGAGATGTAAGAATCAATAATTTGAAAGGGCAAGGGGAAGGGAAGAAAATGACGTAAAAAGCAAAGCAAAGCAACCCCATTCTTTTTGGTATTATATTGGGAACCCTTCAAATTAAAACATAAAGTTTAGACTATCAACCTTCTTGCACGGCCCCCTTCAAAGAAGCTTAGAAACTCAATCTAAGTTTGAGTTTCCCTAGAATGTGTTTCTCCAGGAAATACGCCAAGATATCAACATCAAAGTTTTGCGAGAAAGATTTGCAATGACTTGTGGAAACTTGAGCATTATTTTTATATAAATAGTTAAAGACAAGAGAATTCAAATCTAAAGTTCAAACATTCAAACAAAAGGTTGAAAATATATAGGCCAAGAGAAAAAATTACATTTGAACTCAAAGATAGGGCCATACTTCCACACCCAAAGTCCCAAGAAGAAATTGAGCCATCCATTAGGGACTCAAACGCCAAGTATTATATTAGCAGCAATCTTAATTGGTTCGGAAGAATATATCTTCATTCAACTTCTATTCAACTTCTATGCACTCGGGTATATGAAAATCTAATGCACTCGAGTATATGACTAGGGGTAATTTTGGAATGGTTAATATCACTTTAGGAATATGCAAAATCAATCCCAAACATATCTTCAATAAATCAAAATCAATTACGTTTGTATGAAAATCGTGTTAAGAAAAAAATGAGATACCCTTAGTTCTCATTTGAGAGTAATTTCACAACTTCAACGTGACAAAAATAATTTAACCCTTTCAAAATCACACTTTCCAAACATACCCTTAGTTCTTCATCCCATTTCTAAGCATCCTATCTAAAAGTTTTATGGTTTGTGTCCTATAAAATTTAAGAAATCAATGCAAAAATTAATATAAATGGAAGCAGCAAGCAATGGCATCAATAATTTAGAGGGAGAAGGTTATAAACTAATTATATTAGTAATGAAGGTTAGAGTTATACATGCCTTTAGTGTGTGTATTCAAACAAGTAGAACAGGTCTACTGAATCACCTGGTTAAGAATTGCTGTACAAAAGGACGGGTTTTTCTCGTTTTCTTGTCCATGCGGCCACTCAACTCTATAATACTCTACAGCCACTGAGCTTGTTTGTCTTCTATTGCCTGCACATGTGCCCAGAAAAAACGAGACCAGTTGTGCTAGCAAAAATGAAAATTGAACACTGTGACAGGTCTAAGGTAGGCAAAAGAATTACAAATGAAAGCAGATAAGACATCTATATAATTGGTTAAATTAAACAAAATATCCCTCTACCCATCTAAGGAGTATAATTCAATTATGCCCTTAGACTTTACATTTTCTGATAAAATAAAGGACAGAAATAGATGTGACAAGTATGTGTAGAAATTAGAAGATATACGTAACATTATTTACAACTATATAGAAGAATAAAAACATGTTTACCATTCATTTCACCCCAAAAGATGAAAAGATATCGTTAATATTATTTGCATAATCAATTTTTACACATCAACAGTTATCTCAATAATGTTATGAATGCATGTCATCATTACATGAATTTCATTCTCATTATAAAAAAATAAAAATAAAAAACTCTACAATGGTATTTTTTGGGAGCATATTCAAAGTCCGAGGGTAAAAATAGAACTTTTCAAAATCCAATGGTAATTTGTATAATTTAGCCTAAGATATACAAGTAAGCCATTAATACGATTAAATGATGGTATTAACGGCATTAACCATATTTGGAAAACGTGAATTACGTCAGGGAAAAACGTCCCCACGTCTTGGAAGAGCTAAAACACAAAAGATGATAAAAAGAAGTTCATTGCATTCTCAAAGCACTTTTACAATATATGCGTAGACATGAAACTAACCACAGTAACAAAAACCATAAGACCGCTCGGGGGAAAAAACCCACCACAAGAGAGTAAGTTCTAAAAAGGACTGCCAAAAGGCACAAACAAAGAGAGAAGTTATCCAAAGAGATTTGGCTTTGTCCCGGTTATCTTAACTACTTGAGAGATAACATACAATATAGTAGCCACCTATTGAAGAAGCATTGAAAAATTCCAAAACCATTACAGCCCATACTATCACACGACTCATTAATGTTTTTAACTAGTAAAGTATTACCATAAAATTATGGAGAGATAATAAAAATACTCTAATGGGATCATAGATGTTTTAAGATTTTGTGGGAGGTGGGTTTTCTTTACTTCTTAGAGCTCCTTACATATATTCTTTTATAACTATCATCTTTCATCTATTAGCGCCAAGTGAAGGCATCTACTGAAACCCCTTCGGCTTTTTGCATGAGCATTTCATAAGATCAAGGAAATCTTTTATATATACACGAACACATAATCACACACAATAAAATCAAATGCTAGTTATGATTAAAATTTGAAGAACAAACGACAAAAAGTGTCTGGTTGACAAGAATCTGAATGATACCTGTAATGATGGATTCTCAGCCAGAATCAGAAGGGCCCTTAAGACTCCTGAAAAAATGTTGGTGGTATATCAATTTAAACCCAAACTACATTAAGATGTGTAAGGAAATGCATTAATACCTTGGCCTCTCAGACTTGGCATGTTTAGACATAATTGATGCCTGAAATACAAGCCAATTTGTACAGTTATTAATTAATATAAACTTAAGCTTCTCGAAAAAGATCACAAATATTTTGGTTTGATCAGATGGATAGAAGAAAAATATATGGCATAGCCCAAATTAGGCAGAAGAAGAAGAAAGTCCAAACATTGTGTCTAAGACATAAATTTAATCAGAGGAAACTCCAATCTAAATACCATGCAAAAGAATTTCTTGTATTTCCAAACGGGTAGAAACTTCACGAGCACACCAAATTCAGAGAGATACGTGCTTTCAATGTGTCAGAACTATAGATCCAAAGGACCACTCAGAAATTGCACTGATTTACATAATTTGAAAGCTCTCATAAAATTAAAAAATAAAAATAGAATGCTTTCACTAGGGGTGTTTAGACAAACCGAAGACTCGAAAAACTGAGCAACTCAACCTAACCAACTTGGTTTGGGTTGGTTTAAAAATAATATGGTTCAGGTTGAGTTTTTTTTTTTTTTTTTTTTTTAATCGGAGTAGGTTGTCTCGGTTCTTAGGTCGAGGGCCTGAAATTTTGAATTGAACTGAACTGGCCCAGTGGCCATATTATTTCATAATTTTAAACCCAGCACTGGCAACCCATATTATTTTTATACCCAGCAGCCCAGCCAACCTTTAAGTAGTTAGGTTTAGCGGTGTTAGTGGATTGGGTTTAGGGACATTTTAGACCCAACCCTATAGTTTGACTTGCTGGAGCAAATTGGAAACTTGAGATAAGAGAAGCTCGTTGAAATTGAAGATATGACACAGATTTTAATTGGCTGAGCAAGAAAAGTAGAGTACCTGCTCCTGGATTATGCTCCTTGCCTCTACAAGTTGTGCTTCTAACTCAAGTTCCCTCTCGGAAGCTTCAGAAGTAACTTCAGATTCTTTCTGAGCATCTTGCAGCTCACCCATCCGCTCCTTCAAATTTCAAGATACTATTAGTAACAAGTATCCATCTCTGTCTAGAAGAAAGTGATGTAGTATGAAAAATAATTCACCTTTATAGAAGCCATCTTATTCCGAAGGCTCTCTTCAATCTTATCTCTTGCCATATGAAACGGAAGGTCAAAAACATCCTGCAAAAATAATAATAATAATAATAGTTGTTGCCAATACATCAATCAGGTGACCACATGAGCACAGTTTGGTCCATACCGTCCTCCCACCAAAGGAAAACCATGCACCTTCACTTTCAACTCTTTCATTAACTGCAAGGGGTTGCTTAGGCAGTCCATTTGGAGCATTTAGGAAATCCCTCATATCAACCTGCAAACCGCATAGATGTCATAAGTAAAGATGAGAGCCACAAAAGCATAACTCAAACGCATACAACAAAACAGACTATATACGACTGTAAGCTGCTAAAAAGATGTAGATCAACAATTCAAGGATTCAAGAAACAAGTCACAGACCACTTTTAATGAGAAGGGTGAAAGGAAATCCAACTTATTGAAGTATTTTGGAAATCAATTGAAATAAGTGGTGCACACACACAAACAACTATCATAATCACAAAGAACCAAAAGGTTCAAACATTGTACAAATAAACTAATGAAGTTCGGAAGTACCGAGCATACTTGGATAAAAAATTGAAGGATTGTAATGTTTCCAAAAGCTGTCAAGCGTCTTATAATGTTTATGGTATCAACAATCCATGGGAATTAGTATTTGAAGTAACTCTTATACTAGTGTTTCAATTGCAACTTCTTGGCCTGTAGCTGCCATGGCCCTCCTCCAATGGAGAAAACCCCTACTTGGTGAACTATTGGAGCTCTTAGGTTGACAGAGTTAAAGGTTAATGCAAAAAATTTTACTTTCCGAATGTGAGAAATAGGATTTTAGAGAGTTATTTATGTAAATCAATGGTCAATAAGTAGAAAGTGCTTCATCAGTAAATTAATGCTTGATAGTCGATAAGTAGATAGTGCTTCATCGCTGATAAACATCCATCAGAATATGAAATATGGAACAAATCAACACACTCTTGTAGACAATCGGCACAACCATTGTAAAAGCTGATAAATAAGAAAACTACTTCCAAAACTCTAACTTAAAAGTTTGAGCTCTGAAAAAATAAAATCCAACAGTACTTTAATATTTACATTAGAAGCAAGAAATACTTCCACGAAATAATGAAATAAACCAATAAAATAATGAACTTCAAAATTCAAAATTAATAAAAATAATTTAATAAAAGAATGACAGAAAACCTCAGTATCATAGAATCCACCATAGCAGAATATAGACGTATTCTGCGACCTAATTTTATTGCATGCCCGCCATTCAAAAATTTATAGGACAACAATTTCAGTAAACTAATAGAGCAAATAGTTATAAAATGGTTGCAAACCTGCATTGACCGCAACAATGCCTTCAAATCAGCATTCTCTGACATCAATTCTTGATTTTTTACTTCATAAGTATCCACCTGACCGCAAAATATTTGCAAGAATATTTGAACCACTAAAAATCACTGAAAAGTTAAACTCACGTACAAGTATTTTTGTAAGTAACTTGTTCACATACTATCTTTTTATAAAAATCATTATCATTCTTCTTGCCATTCCAAGTTCCACGCTGTCGCCCTTCTTTCTGCTCATATCATAAAAGCCATTAAATGACTTGAATGAACCATTTTCTATACAACATTAAAATGATTAAAATATACCTGTAGCAAATTCATTATCTCCATTCCTGATCTAGATTCTTTCTTTTTCTCCATTAAAACTTGGTTTAGCCTTTCCTGCAGACATAAAACAGCTTCTCTTTGTAAATATTGATCTTCTCCAACAGAGTTGAACTCTACTCTAGGTCTGAAAAACAACTCAAAGATATCCCACCTGCAATTTGATATACTCCTTTTCTTTCTTCTTCATCTCATGCATTTGTTGAGTTCTTACTTGCTTTGGTCACATAAACAGAAAGTATATTTCATCATCAACACTTACATTATCACATAGAAACAATTATCTATCACGCAGCATCCAACTACCCTAACCTGATTGCCAATAACCATTCTTTGAAACTCATCCTTTTCCTGCTGCAGCTTATCAATTTGGGCTTTGAAAGCTGCCTTAGCTTTGGCTTCCTAATGGGAAAAAATTTCCTTGTTCAATACAAATAAGATAGAGAAATTATAGAATTTAGAGAAGTCTTGAGATTGTACTGTTCGTGTAATTGTTGCAATCTCCCTATCTTTAGCTTGTATTACTGACTCCAGTCTCTCAACTTTAGTCTCCAATCTTGATAGGTCTAAAAGTAGTCTACCACAAGAAAATAAAGGGAAATGTGGACAAATAGAAAGATAATTGACATGATAGTATTTCAAGGAGCCATGATGTGAACTAGAATAAGTCATTCCATCATATAAATGAACAGAAATATTATCAAAATTTAAGAACAAAGTCAAGCTATAGATTAGATGCAAAGGTGTAAATATCTTCCAAAATAAACAATGAAGAGCTGAGCACTTCAAATCCAGGAAAAAAGATTTACATTTGCACATATAGAAAGTTTTCTAGAGCACTTCAAATGACTTGATAAAGTAAGAGGCGTGTTGACTGTTAAAGAGTATTGTATTTCAACTTTCTCTTCTAGGGTTTTGCTAGTTAAACCTTTCGGTAATTATGAGCAATTTCTGAAATGTGACAATTGGAGGAATCTTTTGTAACTCCTTTGATTTGAAGGCTGATGATTCAATTTCAATTATCAATGAAATCATTTCCCGTTATGAACAAAAAAAAAAAAAAAAAAAATAAACATCGATACCATAACCAAACAGAACATCTTTAGAAGAATATCTTAGCAAAGTCATATAAATTAATTCACAATTGATGCACTCGGTGATGTCAGGCGCCATATCATCAATCAATCCTAAAAAATGCCGTTACCTTTGTCTCTGTTCATTAGCAGATTCCCTAAAGTCAATGTCACGCTGCCTCTGTTGAAGCAGGAAATATATACAATTGCACGTCCTCGCGATAGACACCTACATATTTCAGTAAACATATCAAACTTAGAACATCTTCCATAAGCAAACAAAATAAAATTATAGATGCATATGAATATTAAAAAGAAAGGAAGAAACCAGCTTATTGACTAAAAGGTCAAAAACTAACCGGATCATTCGAGAAAAGATCGAGCGAAGCCGGAAATCCAAATGTGATAAGCGTCTGGTTCAAATACTTGGCGCAATGGTCCAAGTTAGTGACATCCGCAAATGTATAATCACTGAAAACACACAAAACCTCAAAGCATCAACACATTTCGCCTATACACTCGCCACACCAGCTACCAAACAAAAAATGCAAATGTAGACAGACAAAGCTCGGCAACAACAAAAACAGGAGTGACAGCCCTAAATTGCAGAGGAAACTGACCCGACCGAGTAGATAGACTGCGGAGATGGCTGCAAAGAAAGAAACAAAAGACAGAGAAACCAAAACAGTGTCAGAGAAATATGAAAAGCAATGAACCGGTGTATTGCAGTGTGAGAGTTCGTAAGGGATCTTACACTGAGATCAAAGTCTGTTTTGGTTGCTGCCATTGTTTGAACGTTGAAGGAGGAGGAGGAAGAAGGGCGGATCAGGTGGATAGATCATCCATGGCGGAGCGGTGAAGAAATTTAAAAGAAAAGTACAACGAACTTTGGAGCTGGAAGAGAACTAGTAACATTTTCCACTACCGACGTCGTTTCGTTTGTACGAAATTTATATGACTGAAATTTGGAGTTCGAGTGACAAGTATTAATGGATTTATATAGGTCAAATTTTTGTAAAATATAGTAGATCAATAAAAGAATTTTTTTTAATTTATTAAAAAATTTCAATAAAACTCTAATCTTTCAAAAAAAAAATATTTTAAATTTTTAAAATTCATTAATATTTTAAAACATTTTAAAAATTCAAAAATATTTTTATCATTTAAACTTTATTAAAAAAAATTCGAAAAATTCTTTCCGACACCTCACAAATTATATAAAAATTTATTATTATTATTTTTTAAATTCAATAATTTTTTTTTATGTTGTATTTTTGAATTTTTGTAAAAAAAAAAATTAAGAATATTAATATAAATTTTGGAAAGGTTATTTTTTTAAACCTTTCAAGAATTTAAATGTATTTTTAAATTGAAAATTCAAATAAAACCATGGAAAAGTTTAAAGATATTTAAAATAAATAAATAAATAAAATAAAAAAGAGATGGGTAACTCTGCCAAGTGGATACAACCAACATATCTCATGAATGGTGATGCTAGGGGTGCTCCTCCCAGCTAACAACAAATTTAGGATTTAAATTGATAAGTTATTAATTTAAAGTTTTAATTGCAATCATTTCTAAAATTTAGTGACATAATATATTTTGGTTAGGTGAGAAAAGAATCCACATTAGAATCATTGCCTTTACAATAATATTTGACCATCATATTTAAATATACACATTAAACACGATGTTTCAAATAAAGTCCAAAAACAAATAGTACTAAAAAAGATTAATCATTTTATATTTGGCGTTTTATGCCTAAAAATTTGAACCAAAGACTTATGCTTAAAAGTCAAATTAATTAACAATTTGATATTGTTTAATAAGAAACTATGTTAAACTATATTTTTAGTCTCTTTAATTCCGGATTTGTGTGGTAAATTTCTTGACCTATAGAATTTGAGTGATTAATTAATTGAGATTATAATTCATAATTCACTTTTCTTTAGTATTTATTGATTATTTACCTTGTTTTTTCTTTATTCCGTAATAATTTGATTATCCAAACAAAATAAATTAATTGGATTGGTCGAGGGTAATATTCTAAAAATTTAATACTACCCAATTGAGCATATTAAAATTAGTTTATAAGTGTACCATAAATATAAGAAGTTAGAGATTCTAATCGTCCCAATCTCACTTGTCATTGAACTAAAAAAAATTACTATATTATGATCATTGATATCATACATGTGCTCTTCACTATGCTAAAATAGATGATTTATAATCAATATTAATAAAGAAAGAAATAATGACTAAATTAATAAAAAATACTTTTAAACTTAGATTAAAGCCATTAGTTATGGATTGAAAATCACGAGGAATTAGGCAACAAAATACATGTTGGATGATGAAAGTCCCACATCGGCTAATTTAGGGAATGATCATGGGTTTATAATCAAGGAATACTCTCTTCATTATTGGTGTGAAATCTTTTAGGGAAGCACAAAGCAAAACTATGAGAGCTTTATTCTCAAAGTGAACAATATCATACCATTGTGGAGAGTCGTGCTCATCTAACATGGTATTAAGTCATAATAATTTTAAAAGTAGGAACGGGTTGAGTGTAACCTGTTTTCAAGCTCAATCATGTTTTGAAAATGTGGTTGACTTGAAGAGGACAGGAGGGCAGGCGAAGGTGGGGGATTGGGTGAAGAATTTGTGGCCTTGAAAGTGTCAGTTTTCCTTATTTCATCACCACAATTCCTAATTTCGCCGTTGGCATTTGGGATGCTTAGTTTACCAATTCGACCCATGGCTGTTTCTATCTATTTAAAAGAACAGAAATTTAATTATCAAAATAAAATACTTTAAATTACATTATAAAATTAATCCTTGGTTTTAGAAATAGTCTCAAGAAATAGTCTCAAGTTTTTTATTTGAATTTTATAATTTAGTTGGCTATTTTTTATTTGACCATAAATTCATTTAAAAAAAAAAAAAATAGTATAAATTTAGAATTGGATGAAAAAAATAATAAAAAAAAAGCTTAAGAAATTTATATACTTTTATTTAAAATGGGAACTCTTTTTTTTTTATTGGTCCACGTGGGAGCATGCTATAATGATTTCCGTTTTGGACGTCTTCTACCTGTCGTTTCTTTGAAGGCCAAAAACTCACCAAATTTAGCCGATTAATCGGCGAGGAAATTATTGAAATTTTCAAGAATGTTCTAAAGTATTCCATTAGAGTTTTGAAATTGGATCGGCGAGGAAATTATTGAAATTTTCAAGAAGGTTCTAAAGTATTCCATTAGAGTTTTGAAATTGGACCAAAACTATTCAATCATTTTTGACATCTAGTGCTTGTTTTTATTCTAATTCTTAAAATATATACAACCTGCCTGAGATTCTGCCGGAAATACATACCATACTTTTATCTTATCCTTACATTTATGAGGGTAACATGCATGCATAATCATAACGTTTCTAACCTTCTTTTGATATATAGTGTCTCAAGAGTTATATACATGAATATAAGATTTACATACATGCAAGTATGATATCAAATAAAACATATAATAAACTGTCGTAAGACACTAGTTGAATTGAAGATTGTTGAGAGTGAGTCCCACATTAACTAATTAAGGGGATAATCATGAGTTCATACATAAAGAATATCTTCATTGGTATGAGGCCTTTAGAACTTATGTTCAAAGAGTACAATACAATACTATGGTAGAAGTTCGTGATTTCTAACAGTTTGATGATACAACACGACAATTTCTTCCAACTAGCTATACTCATCCTTACTAACTTCAATTGCATCACCAGCAATAGCAAGGAAAAAATGAGTAGTTTAAGCAGTGAATTTCATCTAGTAAAATTATGGTCCCAGCTCCTTATTTGATCAAATCCCTAAAATAATATTCATATTAAATTGGTCATAAAAGTCATTTCACATAGATAAATTAAAGAACCATTATAAGTAGCAATTCGTAACTCACTAAAATTAACGTCGAGTTACATATGATCATAATGTGAATTAATATTCAATTTACGAATATTTATAAAAAAAAATTAATATTTCATGGTATAGTCTATTTATTTTATAGATATCGTCACTCACCCTAACGATTTAGATCAAATAATTCATAATAATTATAAGGTGGGTTGTATCGAACAGGATAACTAAGATAAAGACATGTAACTTATCCATATATTACATATATTTTATGTTATTACTAGAACATAATTCTCCCATATGTCAACCATGTCTGGTCTAATATTACTTTAATAATGTTGAAATTTTTCTACCATATTAAAAAATAAAATAATCAAAATTATTACTAAAAATTCAATTTTAAGAGCATATGCCAACTAGTAACTTTTATAAATTTTTCTTTTGGCCTTCACTTGAATGCAGGTAAATAATAATAATAAATAAATAAAATAATAATAATAAATAAATAAAATAATAATAATAATAATAATAGCGAAGAGTGTAATACCCAACCCACATATGTATCTAAGTTGGTTCAATACGAGGTCGTGCACATCTAAACTTGAATGCAGGTCGCTCCCTTGATTGGTTTTACGGAAACTAACTAGTTGCACATCTAAACTAGTTAAACCTAGAAATATGACATTTATGCTCCAGGATAAAAATTAATGAATATCTCAAGCGAATAAATACTAAATATAAGAGCCTATAACATTGTTTTTATGTTATAGTTGTCCTCAAATGGGTTAAAATGGCACACGAGGGTGTTTTAGAGCAACACCGTGTGCTAGATTCTAGTAGCTTATGTCTACGCTTTCTTATTTTACTTACTTTTTTGTCTTCTCCCAAGATCGTCTTTCTTACATATAAAAAAGACAATGATACTAAAAAGATTTACTTTTTCACTCATATTTCCACGAACGAGCAACTCAACCACAACCACTTAGCTTTTTATGGATTAGTTTGGTATGTTAGTCAATTTTGAATATGAGCACTCGAAAATTTTGTCAATCTCATGCTCTATACCCATCAAAGACGGTATTTCATTAGGCTAACACTTCAAAAAATACTCGTTTGAATTTTTTCAAAAGAGATGGAAAAAAAGGTAAAGAAAGTCAAGATCCTCAGTCAGTAAGTCGAGAACAATAGCTTTTCTAATCTCACAATATTTCTCTTTAATTAGCTAATTTTTATCTATTTTTTTTCGTAAACTATTATTTTGTTTTTCTTGAAACGCAAAGGGTCGATATTTTTTGAAAATTAAAAAAATATGTAATTAAATATGTTCGGGTCAGGTCATACATATTATAATTATCCTATTTGTATAGAAAATTAGAATAGTTACGCTACCTGCATATAAATTTAAATTGAAAGGCGGAGGATGAACGAAGTATAAATGGATTAAAAAGTTGGCAATTTAGTAAATATTTTTTGAAAATTAAAAAATGTGTAATTGTTGATGGAATAAATTTGTAAGTTTTTTAAATGGACAAAACTTAACCATGGTTAAGTAGGGTGGCGTTAGGTGGGTTTGACTCTTTGGGTTTGGTAAGCGTTGTCTCCGTTTGGTTCACGAATGCGCTCTCAATAAACCCATCAACCTCTTTCTTTCTTCGTTCTCTCTCTCTTTCTCTCTCTTTCTCTCTCCACCTACAGCCAACAACCGAGGGAGAGAAGTTTCATCATTTTTCCTCTATTTTTCTGGTCATTGTTTTGCCTTAGTTCTGTAGCTGTTTTCCGTTTCTCGCCGGAATCCGGTGCTATTCTCTGAGCTTATCATTTTGTCTACCGGATTCCGCAGGTTGTTTTCTATTTTTTCTTCTTCTTGTTTTCGTTCAGTTCCAGTGTTGCTTTGGCCGTATGCAGTCGGAATCCAGGTCGATGAAGGTCTCTCCGTTGGAACTTATGTCGGCAATAATCAGGAAGGCGATGGATCCGTCGCAGGATTCCTCCGAGTCGGTTCGGGAAGTAGCTACTCTAATCTTGGAGAACAGAGAGTTTGTCATGATCTTGACTACCTCGATTGCAGTTCTGATCGGCTGCGTTGTGGTCCTTGTTTGGAAGAGATCCAGCGATCAGAAGGCTAAGTCGTTCGAGCCACCTAAGCAATTGATAGTCAAAAAGCCTGAGCCGGAAGTCGATGATGGCAAGAAGAAGGTCACTGTGTTTTTTGGCACGCAGACCGGTACAGCTGAAGGATTTGCAAAGGTGTGCTTGTGGAAACACTTGTTCGTTCACCGACTTGGAGTTTTCTTTTCCCGTTGGATTGAATTGTTAGCTAGGCTACTGCTGAATGCTGATGGTTGTTTTTTTTTCGTCTGATTTTGGTAATTAGGCTCTTGCTGAGGAGGCGAAAGCTCGATATGAGAAGGCGACTTTTAGAGTGGTTGATTTGGTATGCATGACCAGTTTTTTTTTTTTTTTTTTTTTTTTTTTTTTTTTTTTTTTTTCTGTTTGTCTTCGAATGACAGTTTCTAGATTCTGATTGGCTCTAGTTTTTACACGTTGCTCTATAACTTTTCCGCAGGATGATTATGCAGCCGATGACGATGAGTACGAAGAAAAGTTGAAAAAGGAGACTTCAGCTATTTTCTTCTTGGCTACGTGAGTTTCAACGCACTTTTCTTGTCGTTGATGTTTCTTTTCCTTCTTAATTTATCTTCCGCTGGGCTTTTGAATTTTTCTTTCGTTATAATTATCCGCGCATGCAGATATGGGGATGGTGAGCCAACGGATAATGCGGCACGTTTCTATAAATGGTTCTCTGAGGTATATTCTTACCGTTCCCTCAACTTTTTGTTTGTTTGTCATTGCATTATTCTACTCTTCAAAGTTTGACTGAATTAATATGCGTTTGTCTTCTAGAGCTATAATTGATTTGTGCTTTATGTATTAGGGCAAGGAGAAAGGAGAATGGATTTCAAATCTACAGTATGCAGTATTTGGCCTTGGTAACCGGCAATATGAACATTTCAATAAGGTTCAATAACATGAAGATGTTCAATTTTCGTACCCATGTTAAATAAATTTGGAGGCTTACTCTTGATTCGTTATTGTGTGGTTGAAACAGATTGCAAAAGTGGTGGACGAACAGCTTGCTGAACAGGGTAAAATTTACCTTTTCGTTTTAACTTCCTCTGGTTGATTACTATGGCGCTCCTTATTACTATTTTATTATCTAATAAGAAACTAATTTGGACAATGCTTTTCTAATCTTAAACCAAAAACATATATTTGAAGGGATGTTTGACCTCTTTTGCATAGTTAAATAGGATCTTCCGCAGAAGTTGTGGGTTATAGTATCGAAAACATCTTTCTGTCAGAATGAAAAGGCAGAACATCTTAGTCTTGTGTTGTGAAAAATAGAAATGGATTAAAGAACATGCAAATGGTTTATCATTAATGTCTGACTTTCAGTCCTCTTCAACTGAAGCTCTTGTTTAATAATATGGTTATGACTTCTCATTTGAAAAGGGTTGCATCGAGCTCAGCTTCTGTGCTTGGGACACTTGGTTACTCAAATTATATCGTGGCTG